TCAGCTTTCCCAGGAGTCTCCCCTCCAGGTACTGACCAGGCTCCCACCTGCTGAGTCTCCAGTGGGGCTGCCAGTTGTGAGTTGCAGAGTATTGCAATCAGTACTGGACTTCATTAATTGTATTAATACACACTGATACAATAGCGGCACAGTGGCGCAATGGTTAGTATTGGTTCATTGCACCTCTGGGGCTCTGGGTTCAATTCTGCACCTGGGGTGCTGTCTGTGTGGAGTTTGCATGTTCTCTTCGTCTTCATATTGGTCCCACGGTCCAAAGACATGCGGGTAGGTTATTTGGCTTCTGGGAAATTTGGCCCTGGTGTAGACAGTAGACAGGTGTCCCATCCAGGGTGAAGCCTGCCTTGTGCAGCTGCTTGCCAGGATAGACTCCTGCTCCCTGAATTCGATACAGGGGTTAGAAGATAGACAGGACAAGTCTATGCCACGTTTTATTCTCATGCTGAGCTCACAAACTGTCTTCAGAGCCAGGCACAATCCCAACCTCTGTGACGGCAGAGAACCGATTTAAAATTCCTGTCAGACTTGCAAAGACTACTATGCCTTATAAGAAAGTATTAATGATGATATGAAACAGGCATAGATGACTGCCTCGTTTCTTGTCAGCCAACATCTTAATTACCCAACCCCCAAAGAAACACTAGCAAAGCAGGTGTCTGCTCTTGGTTAAGACTGGAATTATTGCACAATTATCGCTACTCTCTCGGGACATTGCCATTAAGAGAAGAGTATACCATCTTTTATCTACAGCACCAATGGAATTGCGGGAATCAATCCACTGTGTTTTTTTTTTGGACACTTTCTAATCAATAGCACAGGAAATATGAATGTACTTCGTCTGCAGCACTAACAGCTGTGGCTGTTGGTTCAAAAGCGACTGTTAGCAAGTCATTAAAAAAATCGTTTCAGAGTGGGTTTTGGACAAAGGGCTCTCTTCCAACTACCGAAGAAGGGCTTTTGTCTGAATCCCCCTAAAAGAAAGGGTTTTTTTTTTTTAACAAAATCGTTTAAGCCTTGTGTATACAATACCAGTCTTCTGCTTTTTTTTTCAGGTCTGTGCATGTGCACTGCAGTTCAGCCAACTCTGAAAAAAAACTACATTTCCCAGACTTCAGTTGTAGTTTTCTCGTTTAAAAACAGTAGAATAGTTTCCTAGTGACTGATTGATACGGCAGGTAAAACAATCGTTTTAATGTCGTTTCTTCTGTAACGGTGAACTGCTGTTTGTGACAGGACATTCCGGGATTCATCTGTATTAACTATGTTAATGTTCAACTATATCAAGCCTTTAATTAAAGCCTTCTTCCTCATAGGTCTCTTCTGTAGCTTTAGCAGAACAGCTTGTAGACCAGTCTTTTTTAACTTCAGTTTCTCTTTTAGAAGCTGCTGAGAAAGCAGGCTCGTTTCTTTTTTTTCCCCCTCAGCGCATCCTTAAAGTGCTTACAGGTGTGGTCGTAAATTAATTAAGAGTATCAGTGAATACCACTGATGGCGAGTCAAATTATTGTTTTTGTTGGCCTCCAGTGACGAGCCCAGTGATCGTCACGTTTGTGTAAGTGCGCTGGAAGTTCTGCAGTGGTTTCATAAAGTTTAGGCAGGCCTCAACTGAGCTACACTACACTAGACTATGAATTCACCGTTCTACTGAAGCAAATGTGTCGAAGCATCTGTATTACGTAATATCCCATACTGCCTTATAAAAGAGAAAGGGTCCTAGTGTCAGTCCGGTCCATTTGCATGGGGAGGAAAAACAAAAACACTCTGTGGCACTAATTCCAAAAATATCACAGGTCTCTGGGGAGATAGGAGACCCCAGTAGCGGTTCAGGAACTGCTATTCAGCATTCATATTCAGTGGTTTTAAATCACTGGGGCAGTGTGAAGTGACCCATTAGCCAGGTCTGCTGTTGCCTTCAGCAATGCCCGAGAGACACTTGCGACAACAGTTAGGCCTTTTGTAAAGCCACTTAAATTAGCCTTCGTTTTCTCACTGAAGCAATGAAAACGTCTGATCTTTTTTTTTACTAAGGTTTGTGGAACATGCCTACTTTGGATGGGTTGAAGCGCTCTCATTTTGATAGGGCAGGGTAATATTCTCGTATTGGTGGAGTAAAGCAAAGCAAAACATAATGGGAAATCACAGGAAAAGGGGGCTACAGCATTTTCAGTATCTACCTTTAGAAATTGCCGCCTCAGCTTCAAGAAAACTTGACTGTTTTTTTTTTCTGTGGCTGAACAGTACGAGATTCTCGGCCGACTTGCAGTCCTCCACCTTGCAGAGGGCTCGAAACATCACAAAAAGATATAATTAAGCTTCCGTGATAGTTCAGGAGACAAAGGAGGCCCTGATCCGATTAGAATAGCGAATTCTAAAAGATTCCCCTAACAGTGGGTCCCTCTGTGCCTACAACCGGCACGGGACAAAAAGAAAGAGGAGAGTGGGTTTGGAATTTGCAGCCGGCGTGCCGTTTTCTTCCTTTTGAAAACGGGGGAAATTATCCGGCAGCCTCCCACTTGTGAAGGGCCAGCTGGTGAGCGTGTGGGCTTGGTGACCGGAGTCTCTGAACCGCGTGGGCGCGATGCGTTTCTCCGACACGCCCACCTGCCAACGCCGCTGGTCATGTGACCGGCCACGAGCTCCCCAGCGCCTTGCAGGAGAGCGAGCCCCGATTGGAGGAGCCGCGCTGATGTCACTGCCGGCTCACCGGTTACCCAGCCGACGCTGCCGTCACACCTGCCCGTGACGCTCAGGTTTTCCCGGCTGGGCTTGACCAGAAGTGGGTCACCGCCTCCCGAAACCCAGCTAGGTGGGTCACCTCCGTGACGACAGCCTGGACTCGAACCCGCAGCGTCTGGGCTAAAGGGATCGGCGGGAGCCCGGAGCGAGTGGGGCACCTGTAGGTGGAGTTGTAAAGCCATCCGAGACGAGGAGAGCTCAGTTGGCACAGGTTGAGCCGGGCTCTGACTGTCAGCCAGGTGGCGGGCAGGATTCTAAAGTGAAACTAAGAGAGGGGCGATTCGAGCTGGATTTGAGCCGAACGGGAGAGATTGCAGCGCAGGGGGTAACTGAATGGTTGGTAAATACCTGGTTGCTCTTCTCTGCACCAATTCTGAGCACCAATATCTTTACCAGGAGGTAACGTCCTCTCGGTTTGCTCTGTCGATGCGTTACAGAGAAATTCTTAAGAGACGGGGGGTCGGGTCCCTCCGAAAACCAACCCGAGGCTGTTTTTCATACCGGAAAGCAGACTCTGGGGTTAACAAGATGGGGAGGGCAGGTGATACTTCGGTCTCACTTTTGTACCCCCCTGCTACAGCGCAGTTAGGGATCTATCCCACAGGCCCCCTGTCAAGCAGCTTGGCCAGCCCAAAAGCCGATCTACGATGACTGAAAATGGTAAAAAAAAAAAGATAATTCAGTGAAAATGAAAAGGCAACACCTGCCACAACTTGACAACCCACAGGCAGCAGGACAAAGGAATTAAAAAAAAACTAAAGATTGA